TTCACCATCAAAGTGCAAATTAAATTGGGAAAAAGAAGCTTGATACACATAGTAATTTACATTAAATAGCTAATATTCAAAGTGTCTGATTAAATTTTGTATTTTACAGTCTCCACGATGGATGATATTCAAACCATAATTCAGTTTCATAAATCCCTCACACTTACACCTCATAAACTTTCTTCTATCCACATTACTTATTTTAAACCTTACATTAACCTTATTAAAAAAAAAAAAAATCTCCGGAACTTCGCTAACTCGGTACAGGAAATCAGGCATCATCCTATCACGGCGAATATCTAAAAATCTAAAATCTGTTGGAACGAACTGCACTCGTATTCTGTGGGACCTCTGGCAATCTCTCGCGCGGATCGAACAACCCGGCAAGGCTCTGCCCCTTTTGTCGAGCAGGGAAAACCACATCGAGCGCAACCGTCAATCGCGATCAACGCGGCCGCGATCGCCATCACGCGCAAAAGAAAAAAGAGAGCGGCTACGTCGAAAAGACGAAGGCGTTTGGTCAGATCCGAACAGCGGTCACAATAATAAAATTTGCATGACACAGGCTCGGCCTCGAGTGGACCCGAGATCGAGAACGCTTCAAAGAACGCAGAGACCGGCCACAGGGGCGAGCAAGAACTCTTGAATGAGATTCTTTCATATGCAAATCGAATTCAAAGTAAAGAGAAAGAAGAGAGAGAGAGAGGAGGAAAAAAAAGTAAGAGAAGGTGGAAGAAGTTCGGTTCGACGAGGTCGGCCAAAAGGGTTTGAAGACGATGGTGCTGGGGAATCCAGTTACAACTGCGGAAACGGCTCGAAAGCGGCGGAGTTGAAGAGCTGTACGAGCAGCCAGAAGGGCAAAGGAAACGAGAAGTGCGGCCAGATAAGACGAGAGAAAGAGGGAGAGAGAAAGTAGGAGGAAATCCCCGTTAAAAAGTCGTAATCACTGACGATAAGAGGCCTTTCCCTCGCTGGAAGGAATGTCTTGGAGGACAAGCTCGCCGCGACCGCAGCTCGGAAAACGCGCGCGATCCAAGACGTGAAAGTTTTGTCGGAATTTTGTTCATGCTTCAACCCGGATGCTTTTTTCTGCCGCCGAATGTTTCTAGATGAAACGTTTTTATGGGGAACGAAAGAGCTTGTTTTTTTCCCGTCTTTTTCGAATTTTTCCATTGTTTATCCGCAGTTTTTCAAGTGTACGTGTGTATGTGTGTGTTTCAATTCTTTTATTCGAATCACGCACGTCCGTTCGATATAAAGAGAAACACCGGGTACCCAGGCTGCTTTTTAATTTGCTTCCCGAATTGATTTTATCTTTTGTTACCTTCGAGAGCTTGCTTTCCCCCTATCGTTTTTTTCTTTTCTACTACTTCTACGAATATAATTTTTCGACTCGAATTTTTTCGTCAAAACGTGCCACGGTGGATGCGGAACTTTTACAATGAGTTTTGAAATTATTACAATGTATCCGTGAAATCGTAATACAACCCACAATTCCACGTTTAATAATAAGTCGAAGAGGAAAACTAATTTTTTTCTCTTTTTTTTCGCTAAAGACTTCGTTTTCGAGAAAATTGAAATTTGAAAATTTGCTCAATAATTTAATTCCAGACTGGACAGTTAATTGGACTACGGACTCGCATTTTTAGAAGGATAAAAAAATGATACTTAAATCGAAAATTAATTTACCTATTATAAGAGAATTATACAAAATATAAAACTAGAATAAACAGTATATACGAATATAACAAGTAAAGTCTACATACTGTTTATGGAAACTATCGAAGATATTTTTACTTAGGATGTATGAAAGATTTAACAACGTTATTCTCTTCCCTTCTTTTACTTACAGATAGATAGATCAGTAATAGTTATAAACAAAACTAACGAACGAAATAAATAATGAAATCGAGAGATGAAAGAAAAAATAAAATAAACAGAATTTTATTGGAAGCCTTCGACTGAAAAGTATTACTCCATCTTCCCAATGTATTTTTCCATGTAGAACTATCTATTTTCTGGCCAATTGTAAAAACACAAGCACGTGTAAAAACCTTGAAATCGCACACTGAAATCTTTTTCTAATTTCTCCGATTTTTCACACTTCGTAGTTTTACAAACAGATAGACAATTTTACAAGATTTACGGATAGCTCGGCAAGGCTTTCTGCTTCATTCTCAGTCAACTGGCTGTTCCTCGATAATTACTATAATCAGCTGAACGACGGGATTCGTGCATTAACGTTGTAAGCGATCAAAAATCTCCGTTTCCACGTTCTGGCGAGCGTTACTCGTTGGGAAAGATGCGAACGATTTGTCGTAAGTAAATGCGATAACCCGGGAATCGATATTGCGGTCGCGAGATCGCCGCGTATAATTCAAACGACGATAAGGCGAACGACCGTAATGAAACCTCAAGCAAATCCAATTTCCATACGAATCGCTGCCAATTGTCCTCCGAATGACAGGACCGAATCACCTGTGATGAATAAATAACCTGATGGAAAGGTGATTTCATTCAGTAAACCAAGTTATACCACAATCCGCTGGAGGATGATTTTATGATACGTGCAAAAATTAGTCGGAAAGAAAGGACAAAATTTCGTTCGTTCAAGGCTTCGTTTTCGAAGAAATCAGAAATCAGTATGTAGATCAACTAATAATTGAATTTGGCCGATTCTGAGATAATAAACAGGTGGTTGTTCTATCTGTGAAAATAAGTCAAAAGTGTAAAGTACAATTTTCATATTGACCAATTATATAAATTCAAGAATGAAGCAATCATAAATTAATAAAAACAAGACGTACGAAATTTCAATAATATTTTATTTTATGGTATGATCTGTGATAAAATCTGTGACTGTGATAATTTAATTAAATTATAGTTCGTTTTGGGACGTCGCTTTAAAAAAAATTTTTTTTTTTTTTTGTATTCTCCATTGGATGGAGACAGACGAAATATAGTGATTTAGTACTCGAGAATCAATTGATTGAAAAATTACACGTACTTGAAATTACTTAATATCTTCAGCGTACTATGTTGTACTCTAATACCATATTGTCTATATTCACTGTTTGTATTAAAAATTTTGAAAAATGATACTCAAAACGAAGTTTCAACTTTGCAGTGTGTAGATTTCGTAGCAGCGAATTTTTAACTACCTCCGCCATATGCTTTCGTGAATATGTATCTAGTCATGTAAATAGCCACCAAGTAGTATAGGTCAGCGTATAGTCAGACGTCTGGTAATCAATATGACGATACCGTTTGCTCAATTACTTCGTTAACTGTTTTTCAATGAATAGAAATAATATTCGATTAATTAATAGATTTAAATATAATCTGCAAATATATTAGATCTTTTCTTCAATTTAATTTTCAACACAAGACGGATACATATGCTGTGAAGTTCTAAAAGTGGAATAGTTACTTTATTAACAAGTAAATATTAAGAGAATTAT